TATTTCAGCATGTCTACACAGCATGCATGCCCACATAAAAAAAAAACGTAGAAAAAAATAAAAATAAAATTCTACATTCCTTTCAAAATCACCATGCAGTTTCCAGAGCAAAGACTTGTCTTTATAACCTCACACAGCACTGCGTTTTTAACAGTTTGGCTAAAACTTGAATGACTGTATGCAGAGGAAGTGACAACAATGTGTTGTATACGTCTTATCAGTAATTGGCATCAGAGTGTCAGACAGTTGTAAAGCCTGATTTTCCTGGGCTACAGCATCCGTGCAGCTTTAGGGCAGACAGGATCCAGCAGATGGAGCTTCTCTGTTTACTCTGGGGTTAAATAAAAAAAACATTACTGTTGAATGAGTGGTAAAATTATGCTTATTCACTGATTATCCACTTTTTTTAATCATAAAAAGGAGGGGTCTCTAATTACTTTTTTGTCTAGACTATCAACATCCAATATCAATACAAACAAACACGCAAAAATATGTCAGCTATGATTAAGTGAATGAACATCTGTGCTCTGTATTGCCAACATTATCAGCCCAAGATTACAAATTCAATGTTCCCCAATTTCTACTTTTATACAACATAAGCACACCGAGTGGTGATAGCAAACACATCAGCAGTTACACATCTACCTATTATGAAACGCTTGCAGAAAAAAATGAGAGCGGCTTTCAAACTTTTCTGCTGGAAAACACTTCCTGCGTCATCCTGCGTCATCCTGCATCATCATGCATCACCCTGCAACAGGAAGATAACTATACCTTGACACACAACTGACGAAATTGCAAGTCAGTGGTTTGTGAAGAAATTTGTCTTTGCATCATCATACCAACATTAAAAACTACATAACACATACTCTATATTGCAATATAGGACATACATCCTTGTAAAAGAGTTTAATAATCTCAATGGATTTCTTCCTGGTAAAATAAAGGTTTAAATAAAAATATTTGCATTAGTATACTAAAAATGCAGAAATCAATAAGCATGTAAGTTTAATAGTGTGATTACCGGTAGATCTTACATGCATGTACTGAATAACTGAATAAACAGACCGACCAACAAGACTCACTACAGTGCTTAACATAAACCATAGTACTATTGACTTTAACAACAGTTACAGGGCCAGTGTGGTTTTGAGTCACTTTGTAGCCCTAACTATACCCAGGCATTAACATGTTCTACTAGTGTACATTTCACACGGGTAAATGAGGAAAACTATTATCAGTGTTGTTTTGCTGATTGTTAGAGGCGTACAGTCTCAGTAAACGTATCATTTCCGAGTTGAACTCCACAGACATGCTCAGATGTGTCTGCCTGCTCTGTGTCTCCTTAAAGCAGACAAGGAAAACCAGAGGCTTTGTTTTTACATGCTAACCATTAACGACCACTTCTTGGTAAACACCACCACATTAAATCTGCATATTGTTATTTTTTTAATCAAATGCACTTTATTTTGAGTTTCTTCTCCGTGCTGAGTTTGAAATTCCCTTCATTTGTATAACTACTGCTTTATCTCAGTGGATGGCTCAGTCTCACTGTTCATTAACTAACTGTCTGACAAAAAGACAAATAATCAATCGTTTTTAAAAAAATGTGATGCTTTAGTGGGGCAAAGTAGAGGAGGCCTCACTTTCCATAAAGTTTATGCCATTAGCACAGAATAGAGCAACACTTTAAGAATTCACATTTGTACGTATTCAAACATAAGCATACTGACTGATCAAACAATGACTGCATCGTTGACTGTTTTTATAACTACTTTTATTACTATATATACTTTATATATTGTATGTCTAAAACAGTTCTCACTTGTAAATTAGGGTCTGAGATGGGGTAGAGGCAGGGCAGCCAACTCAGGACCCGAAAGTCCCAGGTTTGGTCCCCAGCCATTCCCACGTCATGGTGTCTCCGACCAAGACACCTAATCCCTAATTGCTCCCTGGGCACTTAGCTGCCCACTGCTCCACCTGGGTGTATCCCTGTTGTGATGGGTTAAATGCAGATAACTAATTTTGCCATTGTATGGGAACATACAATGATGACAACACATAGCACTTACTTGCTAAATGAGTCCTCGTGACTCAATGAGACTAACCTGTATAAATAAAGGCTGAATTGAATATGAACTAAACTAATATTGTCTAAAATGCACAATAAAGTAAAACATCCACACACACCTACCTACCTACCGACCGACCGTCCGTCCGTCCGTCTACACACACATACAAATTTACTCTACATTTTATGTATATGTATATATATATATATATATATATATATATATATATATATATATATATATATAAATTCAACCTACAACCTAAAATACAAGTTAGTTTCAATGAGTCACAAGGACTCATTTTCAAGAGAAACTTGTTTTAAACAAAAAACAAAACCACAAATAAAGTACACACAGCAATAAATAGCCAAAAATGCATATAAAATGAAAAGTAAACAAAAGTAATGATGTAAAACAGTATATATATGTGTGTGCATGTGTATATAATGTAGAGTAAATTTGCTTTAGCTTTTTTAGTTTACTAGTTTGCATTTAATCAAGTTGACCAGTTGCTATTGTTCATAATGACAAAATACAAGCCAATACAACCAGCTATCATTCCAAAACCAGAAACGCACACAGAGAACTCTGTCTACTAAAACAAATCACACAGTCAGGGAAACAAAGTCAATGGGAACTTGAAGAAATGGATATTATTTGCAGAGACTGTGGTCGAGAAAAAAGATTTGACGAGCGATGGAGAGACTTGTGAGTCAGTCACGGAGAGAAGGAGAGAGGGCAACAGGATAAGTTTGGGGGGGGGGGGGGGGTTAGGGGCCCTGGGGGGGTTTCTTTTTGAGTTCAGCCTCTCTGGCTGGGGAAGGAAGGGGAGGAAAGAGGGGAGGGGAATGGGGAGGCAACTTGGGTCAGCAGCAGCAGTATGGAGTACGTGTAGATTAGATGTCTGAACTCAAACTTACTAAAGTCTTCCAAGACTCACTGGTTGCCAATAAGTGGAGAAATGATGTGGTTATTGGTCTGAGTTATAGCCTTGGATGCAGTTAAAAAGGAATGTAAAATAATAATAATAATAATTGGTTGGAATCAACAAGGCTCCATAAATCTCCCAAAACAGAAGTGTGAGCACATGACATAAAACGATTGTGTTGCAGCTCATCAACTCACAGAACAGTCATGGTAAACATCACTGTACATAGAACAGTCAAGCACCGGGGGGGTTAGGCTAGTTTTTAGTTTCCAGGATGCTGCTTGAAACTAACAGTGAAGAAAAAAATTAGGCAGGAAGGAGACGAAATATGAGTGTGAGAAGAATACAAATGGATCATAAAAAAGTGACTCCAGGCAAATATGATTTGACCTACAATGCATCCACTAAGTAGAACATTTGATTAATTTATCATGTAGAAATAGTCATTTTTAACAACGCACAGTTAGTGGTAGTAACACTAATGGATTACTCTGTGCTCCTCATTTCTTGTTGCCGTAAAGCTTCCTTTATGACTTGACAGCTGTATGAAGAAACACATAAATACTGCTGTTTACAGTTTGATAGCACAAAAGAGCTAGTAAACGTGTCTGTTGGCGTTATTGTGTGCAAGTAGTGAGAGCTGCGGCCCACATCTTGTGTTTGACTGCACGTGCCTGTGTGTTTCAGTTTGAAAAAATAAACCAAACGTCTCAAGCGGAGGGGTAGATTTTAGGTCAATAAACACCGTAATGAAAGTCATTAAAAAAAAAAAAAAAAAAAAGAAAACCTAGAAAAGTGAAAGCATGGTTTCTTTCATCAGCCAGGAAAAGGAGTGAAGTGTCAGACAGAGGAGGAGGAAGAGGAGGATGAGGGCACTTTGTGTTTATGATGAGTGTAGCCAGCAGCACAGATTGACAGGAAATGCTGTATTTTTTTGCCTGCTGGGCTGTACCACTTGTACTGGTTTGACAGGGGTGAGTGGGAAATGAATAAGCAGAGCTCACACACTCGAGCCATATTATATCTCCCATTATGCGTCAGGCAGTTTGCTTCAGCCCAGTCTATATCTGTCTGAGCAACAGTTAGGACCACTGATGGGCTTTTTTTATTGACCACAGACCTCCCATTGATTCCTCTTGATTTACTGCCACTGTGAGGGTGCTGCTATTTTCTAAATTGAATTGTTTTTATCAATACGCAGAACAGAATCAAGTTTAAAAAGACTGGCGAATACTGACTCAAGCTGCCTAACAGTCATGACTTGTAAAAGTCTCCTCTCACCTGCATCGTTGTGTCCCCGAGCAAAGCGTTGGCAGTTATAAATCACAAACAAGGTCAAGTGAACCTGTGAGGAGTGTGTCTAGCACATGGTGTGTTTGTATATTGGAGGTATTTGTCTGTGTAAATGCACTGCAGGGACTGAGCAAGGCATCCCTCATTCATCACTGTTAAAGCTCTTCCAGAGGGAAAAATAGAAAGTACCGCGCCGTCCTCTGTTCCCTCGAGCAAGACAGAGAGGAGGGGGGAGAGCTCTTACCCAGGCATCTGTTTTTTTGGGTTCGAACACATCACAATGTTCTTTTCTGTCTCCCCTTCTGTTTTTTGACGCACACACATACACACCAGGCCAGTGGCTGGACTTTTAATATGGTTATGATTAGAGATGGGAGGCACAGAGGAGGGAGGAGAAAGGGGCTCATATTTACTGCGGAAAAAAACTGGGGGAGGTGTAGTCCAAAGGCGGACAGAGAGGTCAGATCTGAATGAGAGATGGTGAGAAAGCATGTTTGTTTGCATTTGAAGCTGAATTAAAAAAAACAAAACATGAAAGCAGCACAAACAAAACACACACACACACAAAGAATAAGAATAAAGTTTTGTCCACTGCTGAGCAGCCCCTCCTCTCCTCTCTCCATCCCACCTCCCCCTAGGCTCCACTCTTCATCCCGCCTCCTCTGGCATTCTCTGCAACTCTCTCCTCCCCTCCCCTCTCAGACCGTCATGCCTAGGCAGTTGGTTCGCTCCGCTGTGTCTGGGGCTCAGCAAGAAGCGTGAGAGGCTGTTATTTAGGTCTGTTACAGCAGTCAGGGAGCAGCTCACCCAGGAGAGACGGAGAGGCAGAGTCACGCTCAGCTTAGCCCAGGCCAGGCAGGAACCAGATCTGCATTCCAGCTGAGACAGAAAGAAGGGGAAACTCTGCATCTGCAGGAAAAGCACGTCAGAGAGAGTGACAGCGAGAGATAAGTCAGTGAAGGGAGGGAAGCTGATAGCTGTTGCTTTGCTGTGTTGTTATCACTGCCTCGGTGAGTGACGTGAGCAGTGGCACCACGACAGCACACAGGCATTGAGCATTTGTACTGATTTATGCTGAGGGTGGGAGGGGGTACCATGTTCGACTGTATGGAAGCTCTGGGAATTGGTCCCCGTCAGCTCTATGATGTCACCAGCCGTGGTGCATGCATGCTGCGGAAGGCGAGCCCCTTCTTTCCCGGGTTGGACCCCTTCGCGTGGACGGGCAGTGCCAGTGTTCAGTGTAAGTGACATCCTGTTTGGTTTCTGGCATGACACAATCACATCCCTCTCTGTCTCTCACACACACACACATGCACACACACTTTTCCTCATTGCTGGCTTGTTTACCCCTCAGGGCTCAGCTAAGGGGGCTGCTGTCAGGGGATACAGATCAGTACAGGAAAAGACTGGGACAGACAGTCTCTTCTTCTCTTTCTTATCCGTTCTCAGACAGTTTTAGCTGCCTGCTGCACAAAAGAAACTTTCTGCCAGGATATCAGACTCATTATTCTGCTGTGTTTATTTGTTTTAATGTGCTTGTGCTCGTGTTTGACTTATGAGACTGCACCCATGGAGTCAAGTTTCAGTGAGAATGAGAGCCACCTGAGGTTTGACCTTGCCATGTCAAAGAGGAAAACGAGTTTTATGAGTGACCGGAAGCAAAAAATGCTGAGTTTTCGTTTATTTATGTTATTCATTGTGTGACTAATGTAGATTTTTGGTTAGTGATGTTATATTTGCCTTGCAAAAAGTTTTGTGGATCCTGCTGTAGCCTCCATGGGTCATGCCTTTTTTTTTCTAAGATACTACATAAAGAGATTTCAGTCAAACAGCCATGGATTAATAAGTTGATTAGTTATTAATTGAATAAATAATGAAGAAACTCAAAAGCATTTCTGCTACATTACTCTTCTCTTCTTTCATCTCGGATTTTAGGAAACCCCCTGATTTGACCAGCATTTTCATACATGTGTCCAAGTGGCTGCTGCTTCTTTGTGAGTGTGTGACGATGGGAGAGAAGGAGGGGTTGGGGTGTCTAAGCAATTGCATGGTGGGAAAAGTGTGGAGGGAGTCGAGGCAGATATGACATTGGAAAAACAATGACGAATCCAAAAGACGCTGAAGAAATCAGATGAAAAGCTGCAGAGCTTTTTTCTTGTTTGAACGAGCTGCTCGAAGGTGACGGTGACCCTTTTCCCTCCATTCTTCTGTTTGCTCGTCCTGCGGCTTTTTTGTTCCTCGTTACTGCCTCTTGAGGGGGGGAGTTATCTGTCTTCATTAATCGTGAAGACACCAGCATTTCAGTGGCCGTCATGCACACTGGCTAAGCTTTAATGAAGACAGATGCCCTGTCAGTGGAGGCTGAGGCCAGAGGGGGACTCCAGCCAACCCAGCCTGCTCTGCTCTGCTCTGCTAGGGGAGCCCTCATGATAACAAGATGAGATTTGTTTATTTAATCAATCAGGCCTCTGTGGTCTCCTCCTTTTAAACTGTTCACACAAATTCACACATTAAAAAAAAAATCTGCCCTCAGATTGCATAAACACTTTTTGTTTTCTTTCAGTTTTGTTCCTTAAAGTCAAAGATATAAGATGGCCGGAGAAGCTCCCTCTGAAGGTTTGAGGGCCAAGCTGAAGAGAGCCAAGTTTAGGCTGGTTTGGTGTACTGTTTCAAACCCTCTGTGCCTGGTAACCCTTGTAAACAAGGCAGCCCTATCCCTGCACGAGCATAATGCTTCTCTTTACTCAGGCAGTCGCCTTGCATTGTCCTCATCAATGAAGCTGATGAATTGATGTTTGAGCCTGATATCTCATTAGGCGCAGCCAGCTGCACAACAGACGGACCTGCCTGGCTCCTGATGCCACACTTTATGAAGCATGATCCGTGCACAACAAACTCACGTTTGTTTTTCGTTACAATGAATTACTGCCATCGAATGCACACTTGTAAAAGACACGGATGCGGACCAGAAATCTTACTCACTTGTGGAAAACGCAGTAATAATGTTTGCCCTCCTCTAAATCTTCCACCAGATGAGTATATCCTATTGTCTTGGCAGTAAATCTAATGTGGTAATAAGTGTCACTGGTCTTGGCTGTTAGCCCGGGACAATCGGCAAACTTAAAAGTGTGTGGTCAGTTTTCCTGTTTTTTTTTTGCTCGCAAGAGGGAGACCTCAATGTCAGAGGTTAGTCAGAGGCTACAGCCTGGGCAATGTCAGACCTACTGCATGTGTGGCAGCCTTGTCAGCTTGCTGAAAAGGAGACCCTTTCAGCCAGCTTGGCTTGTGTAATGCTCTTAAGTGCCTTATGCTACAGAGCTGGTACTACATCTGAGCTGCCCCACACATAGGAATAATAGACACTGATTTAGTCAGACGTCAATGAGAACTGAATTAGTCATCTGCTAGGAAAGCCATTTGAGGGATCTCCTCTCTGTCCATGTTCATTTGCTAGAAGAATGATGCCATTACGCTGTAAAAAAGAGAAAGTGTTTGTTTCCCACTAAAGTACAGCCACAGCTTGATCTTTTTGAGCACAGCTTTAGTATCCTCTGTGATACTCGCAAGCGATACATGAGAGAGCCTGAGGACAACGAATTGTTTTGGCAGCCTCACACACACATCCACAGGCGCACAAGCTTCTTTGTTTTCCCTCGATGTGCTCAGAGGTGGACGGAGGCGCTAATTGAAAAAGGGGTATAGATCTGCTTCCTGTGACCGCTGGCTCACTCTGACCATTCGTTTTTTCTTCACCGATAGAAGTCTATAGTTATTTTGTTGTAATTACTACAGATTCAATTAAAAGATTAGAAAGCCTGAAGGGGGCAGTGCTAGGAATATATAGGGGTATCTTTGATGTAGGTGGAGGTCTGTGTGTGTATCCGCACATGGAAGAGAGCATGAGAGATTTAACCTAATACGATAGCAGTTCTGACAAGAAATTGCTACTGTTGTGTTAGGTGTAAATGTTGTTGATACTGTCAAGATGATATCAAACTGACAAGGTGAAGGTTTAAATAATTTAACACCTGAAAGTGACTCCAAAGTGAGAAACACATACATTTTTATTTGAAAATATGATGTAAGCTGTTTTGAAGTGTAATGGTCATAAAAGGTAAAGTTAAAAAAAAAACAAAGACAAAAAAAAATCTGTTTTTGTTTTGTAATTTTTAGCTGTTCAGAAAGTGCCTTCTTAATGAAAGGAGGACAGTGAACCTGATTTAAAATGGTGTTAGTAGCTGGGAGTCATGACTAACACATGCTCTGAACGCAGATCATTTAAGATCTCCGTTTAAAGCTTGGGCATGTGATGGTGGGCAATATGCATTCCTTCTTATTGAATATGTACCAGTTTAGCAGTGACTCAGGCAGCTACAATCCTCTGTTTCCCCTCACCGTGCAATAAAATCAACTAATCCAAAATATATATTCAGTTAATTTATTCATACAACTACAATAACTATTACAATATGAAAACATTTTAATTTTAAGAGACCATTTTACAAATCTACTTGTGTGGCAGTGCTACACCCCTTCATTCCATCTCACATTAATAGCCAAACCCATTAATGGTCAGCACAGCCTATAAATAAACAAACTCAATCCCAGCAGTCGCTTAAAGTTTTTTTTTCCCACAAGTCCCCTTTTCATGTGTGGGTTTGCTTATGCATAAAAACAAGGATAGGGGAGCAGTGTTTGCATGTGAGGAGTGAACTCAGCCTCCTATATGTCAGTGTGTGTGTGTGGTGTTTACATGTCTCTTGGACTGGCGTTGGGCACCCAAACTGCTGTGTCAAACCCAGAGACAGACAATGTGCCAAGCTGGATTCCTCAGACCTGTGCTGGAATCGGTCTCTGCGGTAACAGCAGTTTATAGCACCTCCGCAGCGTCAGTCACACCACTGTAAATAAAACTCCTCGATGAGGCCGACAGCTTTCATCAGTGTTGGAGCTGCGTCTGAGAACAAAATATGAACTTTTGTAAGTTCTTGCACAATAGTTCACCCGTTCCAAAATTACTGTTGCTTCCCCCCTTTGACACCCATGTCTGGCTGCTGCTATTGTAGCTGTTTACTGAGAACAGCTCTCTGGCTGCCAAGCACATTTTCCCTTGAACAAAGGCGTGGGCAGTCAGCAGACTGTGTTTGAATGTGTGAGAGTTATACTAATACATGCACCTGAGAGTTGGCACATTATGTACCCATGCACACATGAGGTTGTTTATAGCATATTTGGACACATGCGTATGCCAGTGACCTGTGAGACCTGAATATGAAGAGAACAGTTCTGTCACTGTTGTGTTATTGACTGACGGCTTGGCTCGAATGTTATGGGGAAGCCTTGCACAGCCAGCCAGGCTGGCACTGGAAACCCAGACCATGACTGTCCTACCTCAGTGTGTGAATGGGCCATGTTTACGCAGCCGACGACGTTTGGCTGGGAGTGGTGAGCGACTGGTGTCGAACAGCTATTATCCTGAGTTCACGGGTGAAGAGTGACAGAAGGGTTAGAGGGGGGAGCCCGTCGGAGTTGTTTTCTCTCAAACATTAGTCAAAACCTGCCAGTGTGCATATGTGCAACTGCCATGAACATCCTTCTGGTAATGGTACATTAGTTCATTTGTATAAACTTGCATTAGTTCATTTGTTTGTGTCTACAACAAGTCTATTTCGGTGTGGGGGTGTTTGTATGCATATTATGACTGTGTGATCTGTGAGGAGGAACAAGCGTTCGTACACTAACATTCCTCTAATTATGCACCTATCAGTTTGTTCAGGAAATGATGGATGTGTTTTCAGAGACAACTTTTATGCATTTGTGAGCATTCATGTTTATGTTGGCACAAAAATCCAAACTACAGTGAGAAATCAAGTTAGCAAAAAAAGAAAAAAATGATTATATTTTCAAAATATTTAAACATCTGTAAGTAGTTGGTTTTTTTAATTCACTGTTTCTTCCTTTTACTGTGCAAACATGTTCACACTGTACAAATATGCACACTTGTGGATTCAGCCTTATTTAGGTTTCTATGGCTGTTTAATGCAGACTATATATAATGTAATTTATTATATAAATGTAAAAATAATGCCACAAGACATCTGCTGTGAATTGGCTCTATATAAATTAACTTAACTGAAAAAGGAAATAAGGTATTTTGCAATGCTGATTTGTCAGTATAATGCAATAAAGGCACTAACACAAGATCTCTTTTATAAACATTTTCAAGCCTGGCATATGTAT